TTTTTTTCGGGATGGTTTTATATTTAATTGTATAACCAATATTAGGTGATACTGAACGTGATGATGTCGATGCTGTTGATGATGAATCATTCGATTCGGAATTTGCTAATGAATTATTGTTTGGATTAATATGTCTAAATAATGATATATAAATATTTAGAATTAATAAAGATAAGATCTTCTTTACTTGAGCATAGAACCAATATCAGCCATGACTATGATATTATAATCAATTGTGAAATAATTTAAAATAATATTGATGGAAATTATCGTTAGAAAGATGGAAGAAAAATGGACGATTAAGGATGAAATATAAAACTAATCTTTGATTACGGCTTTACCAGCTGATGATGCAGGTTGCTACAATAAAAGACAAGAATATTTTTAAAAATAAATAAAATCAATATATATATTCACTTACATTTTTCCAAGTTTTACGAACTGGTTTACTTAAATGTTTTATGGATGACATTCATACATTAAAATACTTATAACTAAATGAATATTCTATTTATATATATATAGTATTCTTCGTTAAAATATATCTTACACAAAAAAAGAGTAGGTAATCAGTTATATATATTTAATACGATAAAGAATTAATATGTATGATAGGTATGTACGTGTTAGACCAATGATAAATCAAATGACTATATGTTACGTTTTTCTTTCTCTATATAAACAGAGTCAAGTAGAATTCAGTTCAAAATGTAAAGAATATGTTTTAAAAAAAAGATAGATAAGGAATCGCGGTAAATCAATATGCACATGTCACTTATTACATTATATTTTATCATGCAGTGAACATGTGATATGATAGAAGACAGTGCATGATTATTTGTATACTTAATTGTTCGTTCTTCTCTTCATTACTTTTAAAAACAATATCATTTATTCTTCGATTGAATACAAATACAATCTTTTATTTAACAACTGAATCACCGCTAGTCTTTACCCGGGCACCCGGAGAAAAGAAACTAGTAGTTACCATGATGTGCACTACTCTCAGGAGTGGCGCGACCGGGGGTGTAACACCCCCAATCTTCGAAAATGTCTATTCTTTGCTTAACAAAATCGGAAAATCCTCTTAGGGTTTTTACCAAAGATAATGCTACACCCCCCAAAAATTCAAAAAACTTCATTACACGCCACCCCCATGTTGGCTTACTCGTGCCACCCCTGACTATTTTCTATGCATTTTGTCAAGGATCATGGAGCATCCGCGATTTTCTGGTTACGCTACTGCATAGAACATTCTTATATTAGTGTCTTCATTATATAAGACAGTGATTCTTGCAAAAATAAATCAGAATGAATATTGGTAGCCATCTTGGTAATGGTATTCAAAACTTTTTTTCTAAATGTGATAATAATACAATCAAATTAACATATTCTATTTTAAAAACTGCATGTGTACCAAACTTAATTTCTACTAATAGTCGAGTTTAAGAAAAAAAACACAAGTTGAAATAATCATCTGCTATATGTTTTGGTATCTGTATGATATGTAAGTTTTTTTTGAATAACAAAATCAGTTACAAATAAGAAATTTTATTTTTTATTTTCAAGAATCTTAATCAACAGTACAGAGAAACAAATGAGTATTGCATAATCGAATGTTTTGAGTATTATCGATAATAAATTGAACTACCTTCTTTCCTAAAAAATACAAAATTAATTAATAGACAAAATGATATAATTCAAATAAATTTACCAGTAGTTATCTAAACGTTTCTTAAATAATGGATCCATTTGACTGGTATCAAAATCAGCACCTAAAATTGATTAATGAAATGCATTTCATTTTTTTGGATTATCCGAAAGGAAGAAACAAGAAACTTTAATCACCGTTAAAGTCATTCTATTAATTTCAATCCCTCATACAAAATTTCTTTCAAACACAAACATACTTTGAAATGTATTTGATTTTGTCAATGAATCATTATGTTCTTTTATTGTTGCTAATATGCTTCTATCATTAACATCACTTTTTAATGCACTTAAACCAGTTTCATATGCATCAACAAATTTTGAAATCTAAAAAAAGAATATTTAATAAATGACTTTTCATGGAATAATTCTATTTTTACTTGTTCATAATTTTGTTTAGCAAGTTTTTTTCTTTTTGCTTCAATTTTATTATATTTAAATTGTAATTTTTCCAATACATCTAATTCTTTTTCAATTTCTTGTTGATCATATGTATTTCCATTTTTTTGTAATTCTTCAAGAGCTGTATATCGTTGTTCTAATTCTAATTTTAATTCTAGAAAATAAATTAAAACCAAAAATACTAAAACAAAATCATTATTTCTATTTACGTTTTAATAAAACATCATCAGCTTCAATTTCTTTTAAAGTTTCTTCTGTTGTTGGTTGAATATGTTTTGAAAAACCTTTTGAAGAAAAATTAAATTCATTATAGAAAACAAAACAAAAAATATTCTCATACTTTCGTTCATACATGTTACATAGAGAAACGAATCCATTTATTTGACAAATAGAAAGAAAAATATTGGAAGATGGGTAAATATCAAACGAACGAATCAGAATTTTTTATATTTTATTTCATTATATATAGTTATATTAATACAAAAAAAAAGAAAATCATGTCATCAATCGGTTCTGGTGTATGTTTATTTTGTTTTAATATAAAATAAATTCATTGTTTTTTTTAATTTTAATTAGTATGATTTAAGTGCATCACAATTTTCTCCTGACGGTCGCGTTTTTCAAGTTGAATATGCTAATAAAGCTGTTGAAGCAAGTGGAACTGTTGTTGCATTACGATGTAAAGATGGTGTTGCATTTGCTATTGAAAAAATTATAACATCACGTCTTTATGAATCTGGTTCAAATAAACGTATTCATAATGTTGATAAACATATTGGAATGGTTTGTTAAAAGTTTTTATTTTAATAATTTACACAAACAAAATTTTAATATAGGCTATTGTTGGTCTTCTTGCTGATGCACGACAACTTTTAACTACGGCTCGTGATGAAGCTAAACAATATAAACATGACTATGGAGTATCAATTCCGGTGAAAGTATGTTAGAACTTTTATTTTAAAAAAAAAACGATCCATACTTTCGCTTTTTATTTAGTATTTAGCAGATCGTCTTGCAATGTATATGCATGCTTATACATTATATGGTTTCGTAAGACCATTTGGCTGTTTTATACTCTTAGCAGCTTATGAAGGTGATGGTCCACAATTATATGGTGTTGAACCATCTGGTGTTACTTATGTAAATAGTTTTCATAAGATATACATGACAAATAATTATCTTTAAAATTTTAGAACTATTTTGGTATTGCAGTAGGTAAAGCACAACAAACAGCTAAAACCGAAATAGAAAAACTGAAGGTATAATTTATTAAAAACAAAAATCGATATTTGCTTTTTTAATGATTATTTTAGTTATCGGAATTAAAATTAGAAGATGCGGTTAAAGAAGCAGCAAAAATGTAAATATTTTATCATAATGCTCTTTTATTTATATATCAATTTATTCTAGTATATATCAAGTTCATGATGAAGTTAAAGATCGTATGTTTGAATTAGAATTAAGTTGGGTTGGAAAACGTATGTAAAACAAGTTTTAGTAAAAATTTCATTTTGTAAATGTTTTTAGTTAACGATGGAAAACATGAACGAGTACCAAAACATATATTTGACGATGCTGAAAAATATGCTAAAGTAATATATAATTCAATCTTTGTTTTTTTTTAATCATATATATTTTTATTTGATTTTATAGGCATCATTGGAAGAAGCAAGTGATGATGATGATGAAATGTAGAAAAACTATATCGTTAATCTTTCATTTTTTGTTATTCTTTTTTCTTTTTATATTCAAGACGACTAATATCATCATAGATGAAAAGTCGTTCCTTTTTTAATCAGGATTCCAAAAAAAGAAAATATTACACATACACAGATAAATAATGAAAATACCCAAAACAAACGATTTAATTATTATCAGATATAGACATAACCTAAAAATCTCTTTATCCAAATCAAAAAAGTTCTACTGCTTATTAGCGCAATCTATAGATAACACTGAGTATATTAAATGTAAACTGAATATTGTAACTTCTTATGGCACTGATGTAAATAACTTTTCAGGACTTTTGAAAGTAAAATATTCAATATTCTTTTTTTTTAAATTAAATTAAAATCTAAAGTTTATTGAAATTTGAATTAAAACATTTCTTCTATTTTCGTATATTTGATACGATTTCAGCACTAATCTTTCATGATAGGAATGAAAAATGATACCATAAATAGAAGCAAGTATTAGAAGGTTGCGTCCTTTTTTCTTACTATCATCTATATATAAAACGGCTTTCTATTAAGAGAAAGAACAAAAGAACACACATTATCTATTTGTTGATACAAAAAATGCAACATTCTGACATGTACGGATTGATCTCACAAGCATCAAGGAAATTATATGAATCTGTTAGTAATGTTGAATCATTGAATCAATGGAAAATACAAATGATTGATTTAATTGATCAAATTTCTCAATTAAAATTAGCTTCATCATTAATAAATAATACAACAAATAATACATCGCTTGATCCTACTGATTGGTTATCAGCTAGAAATATCGCACACGAAACATTAGATTTATCTATAGAACTAATTCAATCACGACGAGATCATGCTGTATGGCAACCAATTCCTGTTGAAGTTCGAGCAACTATTGATGATGAATCATTTCCTGAACAAGGTCAACCATTATCAGCTATATGTCATGATACATTTAAATATATTGTACCATATAGTAGAGGCAATACACATCCTCGTTTTTGGGGATGGGCTATGGGTGAAAGTACATTGGGTGGTATACTAGCTGATATGATTAGTTCAAGTATAAATATAAATGCAGGAGGTTGTACTCATACTGGTGTACTTGTTGAACGTAAAATTATTCAATGGATGCGGGAATTATTCGGTTTTCCTAAGAGTGAAAATGGTGGTTTAATTGTTAGTGGAACATCTGTAGCTACAATTATTTGTATGGCAACAGCACGTCGTCAATTTTTAACTAATGTTAGACAAGATGGAATTGTTAATGGACCACATTTGATAGTTTATACATCTACAGAAGTACATATTTGTATTGTTAAAGCATTGGAATTATTAGGATTTGGTTCGAAAGCAGTACATAAAATATCAGTCGATGATAATTTTTGTATGAAAATTGATGAATTAAAAAAAACAATAGAAATTGATCGTCAAAATGGTTTAACTCCATTTTGTATCGTTGGAAATGCAGGTATAGTGTCACAGTTCGTATTTTATGTAATATACTATAGATATGTATTTTACAGGAACTGTAAATATGGGTGCTTTTGATAATCTTGTTGAACTTTCATTAATTGCTCGTACAGAAAAAATGTGGTTTCATGTTGATGGAGCTTTTGGTAGTTTAGTTATACTTGATCCTCAACGTCATTATCTAGTACAAGGTGTTGAATTTGCTGATTCATTAGCATTTGATTTTCATAAATGGCTTCATTGTCCATATGATGCAGGTTGTGCTCTAATTCGTGATGGTACTCATCTTCAGTCAACATTTTCTGTACATCAATCATATTTAGCAAATGCAGAACGTGGTTGTGCAGGTGATACACCATGGTTTTGTGATTTAGGTATTGAATTATCACGTTCATTTCGTGCATTAAAAGTATGGTTTATATTGAAAGAACATGGAACTAGAAAACTAGGTCAAAAAATTGCAGATAATTGTGAACAAGCTCAATATCTAGTATCATTATTAGAAAAATATCAACATTTCATTTATATTATTCGTCCTGTTCCATTAAATATTGTTAATTTTCGACTTCTACCTGAAGAATTAGATAAATCTAATCATAAATTGATCGATCAATTTAATAATGATCTTATTGCTGACATACAAATATCTGGCATTGCTGTAGCATCTACAACACGTATCTATGATCGACTTTATATACGTGTATGTATAATTAGTCATCGAAGTACTTTACAAGATTTTGATATTTTTGTCGATAATCTTCTTTCATTATATCATATTCGAATTCAAAATATGAATCAATCAAAATATTAAATCTATTACTATTGAATATTTTAATAGTAAAAGATGTATATAGAAATTTTTTAAGGTTTATTCATGTAGAATTATTAAGGTGATAGTCATGGTGAGAATAGTTTTTGTATCTTCTTTAATTGTGTCATATTAGATTAGAGAAATGGAAATGAATTATTATTTTTAATCGTATTTGTTGTTTAGTTTGATAATAAAATAATTTTCGCATAATAATATACAGATAGAAAGGAACACGCTCTTTGCTAATAACATCCCATAAAATCTATTGATTATTCATTTTCTTTATTAAATATTCCAAAAAACAAAATAGACAATATATCTGACTTTTTTTAACAAAAAAAACGCAAATTTAACTTCTTGATCTATGTTTTCGTTTCGTTTTCTTCTTATCTTCTTCACTTTTTCTTCTTTTACGATGTTTTGAATGTTTTTTCTTTCTCTTTTCATCTTCACTACTTGTTAATTCATCGTGTTTGGATCTATTGACTTGTTTTTCATATTCTTTTGGATATCGCTGCATAAAAAATGCATGATCCCATCGATCAGCATTTACACCAAGATTAGATGGTAATGGTGGACCAAAGTCAGCTTGTATTTGATTATTATTATTATTATTATTATTTGGTTGTTTTTTACTTTCCTTATCAGTTGACGATGATGATGATGAACGATGTTTTCGAGAATAAGATTTACGTCTTACATTTGGTGATCGTGATCGTGATCGTCGTTGTTTATTATTGTTGTCTCGTTCTTGTTCACGTCGACGCCACATTGACTCTTCTTCTGTAAGACGATTATGAAACGAAACATGAGTAATTGATCTTTTAAGAAAACGATGACGAGATGACATTTGAAAATGTATTGAAATGATCCTTTACTATTTACGCTACATATATATGGTGAAGAATGAAAAAAATTTGATGGTTCACAATTGACCAATTAGAAAACAGTAAACAATATACATTCCATTAAATAGATTAATATTTTTTCTTATGATATATATTCATAACTTCAGTATTTCATATACTGAATTCATTTCAAATATTTAAATGTTCCATCTCGATCACTAATATGTTCTATTGAAGTAAAAACATTTTTTCTTAATCAAAATGGATCCACCGAATGATAATAATGCATCGACAATGCAAAAACCATTAATGGAAATAACGGAAAAAGATGCATTTAAAGAGAAAATAATTGCATTTGTCAATCCAAAATCGTATGAATTTAGTATATTTATAAATAAAATAAATTTTTTTTTATTTTATTTTAAAGTGGTGGTTTACAAGGTCAACTAGTATTTGAACAATTAACTGTTCAAATAGGTAAAGATAATGTTTATGATCTTGTCAAAGATCATGGACCACAAAGAGGTTTAAAAGAAAATCAATATCAAAAAAATTTAAGAATCATTGGTTAGTACTTTTCTTCTCTCTTCTCTAATTTTAATATAGTTATATCATATTGATTAATAGCATGTGGTGGAGATGGAACAGTTGGTTGGGTCTTATCAGCACTTGATGTATCTCAAATGCAATATATGGATTTCGTTAGTGTCGGAGTTATTCCATTAGGAACAGGAAATGATATGGCTAGATTTCTTGGATGGGGTGTTGGTTACCATGGTGAAGCATTAGCACCAGTTATTCAATCATTAGCTGGTTCAGAAACACGTCTACTCGATCGATGGCAAATCGATGTTCAACCAACAGCTCATACAGGAATATCCAGTTTAAAAGTTAGTTAATACAAATACGACTTCAAATTACAAAAAACCAATACCTATTTATTTTTAGATTCCACAACCTGTTTTTAATAATTATCTAAGTTTTGGCGCAGATGCTCAGGTATATATTATATACAAGTTTTACTAAATAGCAGAACTATATACTTCAAAAAAAGAACTTAATTCATATTCAATCGTATCGTGATAATTAGTTAGTTATTCAAATTAATTACATTTCAGCATATATTATAATTGAGTTTTTTTCATTGGTCAAAATGACATATTTCTATTACTTTTTATTTTTAGATTGCACTTGATTTCCATGAGAAGCGTAATGCTAGTCCACGGCGTTATGCTAATCGAGTATTTAATAAATTTGCTTATGGCTGTATTAGTTGGTAAGTTATTGATGTGAAAAATTTGTTTCTTTTTCATACTAGAATATTTATTAGTAATACATTTATTGATCGTCGATATTTATTTGGAAATATTGTAAATTTTTTTGAACTTCATGTTGATGGAAGAAATATGGATGAAGAACTATTTCAATTTCGACCTGATGCTATACTTATTTTAAATATAGCATCATATGCGGCAGGAACAAACCCATGGCAAGGAGTTTATGATAGTCTTTGGTGTGCAAGATCACAAGCGGATGATGATCGTTTTCGTGAACAAAGTTGTTCCGATGGTTATTTAGAAATTATTGGTTTTAAACATTTTGAATTAGCACGTATTCAACTTGGACGACGTGGACATCGAATTGCACAAGGTAAAAAAGATAAGATCTCGATTATTTTTTGAAAATATGTTTTTGTTTAAATTAGGAAATGAAATAAAATTAAGAATTCGACGAGATTTACCAATGGAAATCGATGGTGAACCATTCTTACTTGGTCCTTGTCAGATTACAATTACACGAAAGAATCAAGCGCGAATGATTATTACTGAGCGAAGCCAAGCAGCTCATCAAATTCAATCAAAACGAGTTTAAAATTGTAAGAATGATCCATATTTTCTTTTTCTTACAAAACCTAGTCATCTGTGGTAACAGTCATTTAAACCTGAATGAATGTGAATTTAGAGACCTTCAATCATTATATCGTATATACACATATATTTTTGATTCATTCTGCCGCACGATATTATAATTATTCCTTTAATTCTCTTCTTGCTTACAGATGCGTGTTTATTAGTCTTTTTCTTTTTGTGTTCTAACTAATATCTATGCGTGTGTATGATCTACTACACATTCTCTACTAATATTTGTTCTCTTTCTTTTGATAAATTTTAAATTTAAATATGAGTAGCCTCAGTCGGGTGCTTTCTTTTGTTTTTCTATTGAAATTAGAAATGAAAAAAATAAAAAAGAAGTATAATGTTCGATGTTTAGTAACTATTTTAATGAAATAGATTGTAAAATTTTTATTTGTAAAGTAAAATTCAAAAAAAAAAATAAATAAAAATATCTTCTAGTTGATTATACGTATACAATTACCAATACCACCTAATCCAACAACTATTTTCCATGGAAGTGGACATTTTTTATCATCAATTCGTATTTGTAATAGAGTTTTTGTTCGAGGATGAGCAAGATAAATTCGTCGTTGATTACAATCTAATGTTAATATTATTTCATCACCTTCTAAAATATCACTCATACATTGTTTTCCTCGACTCCGACCATTTGATATCCAATAACTATCAAGCCACCAACCATTAATAGCAGTAGTAAAAAAAACCGACGAAGGATCCATTTGAGAATATGTAACAATACCAATAAAAAATGTTTCATTAGCTTTTTTCTTAATTTGAAAGCGAATATGATGGGTGCCGTTTAAATATTGATGAAAACCAAAAACATTAACAGATCTGTGTAGATCATCTCCGAAATATGTAGCAGTAAGATCATTTTCTGATAATGCAATCTGTTGATCTTTTTTATTAAATTTTTCATGATTGATTAATATTGGATTTTGATTAAATGTTCGAATCGGTTCTGTCCAAGGACATAATTCCCGAGGAATCTTCACTTTAATCAAGTGAATAATTGAATTTTGATCATCATTATCAAAAGGACATGTACTTATTGATTGTTCTAGATCGTAACGAAGTTCATTAAGCTGAACGGCCCATTTCTTAAAATCAAGTTCTGTATAATCTTCTGATGTTCTACTAAATTGAAGTTCATTAGTTAGTTGAGCAACTATTGTTGTCATTTTTTCTCTTGACTTCTTAAATAATTCATTCAAATCAACTCGAGCTTGATGTGCTGCTTGTTGGATTCTATCAATTGATTCTTGTTCCCATTCGTCTATATGAGATAAAAATGAATTTATATCAGTATTTTTATTAATATCTCGTTGAAGAGCATCACATTCTTGACCAATAGTATCCATCTGTACAGCAAGTTCTTGTCGATGTTCATCAGAATGTTTTCGACAAAATGATTGTTGACAACCATCACATGTAAATACACCACCACCTTTATCACATTTAAAACATGGTTTTTTTTGTGTTGTTGTTATTATTGTTGTCATATCTAAACTTTTACAATTTATTCCCTGTTGATAAATATAGGACAATAAATTGTTGAAGGTCCCTGTTGTGTAGAAAGAAAAAAAGAGAATGAATTCGTCCTTTGATGAAAGGGTAAAATCAATGCGACATCTTCCAATATCATCGCGCAAACAAAAATTTTCATTATGCATACATATAGATTGTTCTCTATTCAAAAATCATCTGTTATTTTCTGAGAATACGCTATATTGAAAATTTATTGCTTAAAAAAATATTAGATAACTACAATAAAAATAAAAGCATTATCGTTATTTATCGAATTTGATTTATTATCACGCACGAAGAACTATAATTTCATTCGAATCATATACTGAAACGGCGATATCAGCATGGTTTAAATTCATAAATTTCACTCCAACTAATGGATTATTTTCAATATGATGATTACATTCATGTGAAATCTAAACAAAAGAAAAATGCTCTTGTGTTCTAAATAAAAATCAAAAATCTACTTGTAAATCTTCTGCATCACCAGATAATTTCCAAATTCTAACATAACAATCATCACTAACAGAAGCTATTAAACCTTCTTCATTACAATCAATTGCATTGATACATCTTGCATGTGCAGTAATTGAACCAATCATTTGAACTAAATTATTTTTGTTTAAATTATTAAAAAAACATAGAAATTCAATTTTTGTCTGTCTTCTTACCATTTTCAATATCAAAAATTCGAAGCATACCATGAGCATAACCAGCTATAAGACAATTATTCCACATTGCTAATGATGTTATACCACTATTATCAAGTGGTTCAATTTGATTTATTTGTGACATTGTACCAATATTCCAAATCAATATCATTCCACTTGTATCACTTGAAACTAAATATTCATTATTTGATACTAAATCTGTTATACCATATTGATGGCCTATATAACATTAAAAAAATTAGATCAAAATATTTTCAAAATGATTTATTTACCAGCAAGAGTTTCTTTTAAAAATATATTTGTACCTTTTGGAGGAATATTAAAAACGAGAATTTCACCTTGATGATTACCTAAGAGGAAATATGATGTATATATATATATATATGAATGGTAATTTACACTTACCAATGCAAAGTAAATTTTGATCAACACCTGTAATACCTCGAGCATAAATAGACGCTTCTAAACATCATATATATGTATGATATAAATTTCATTGAATATTTATTTTCTATTTAACCTGTTCGATTGGGAGGAGTTTTATCAGTCATATGTATATGAAGATTTGTTGTTCCATCCGGTTCAAAAATCTACATTGAAAAAAAACCATTAAAAAAATTTTCATTCTATAATATTTCCTACCTGAATACTTTTTGTACAAGCCAAAACTAATAGACTTCGAACTGGTAAATTAACAAATGCAGCCTATTGAAAACAATAATAAAAATAAGATACATTAGTTCTATTCTTTTACTTGAATAACATAAGCAGTAAATCGACTATCATTTTCCATTACAGGTTTATTATTGCTTCCTGGTGTTCGACACATAACTTGACCTTGGATTTGTTTAGTTCCATCTTCGGATACGGTAGCCTAAATTATATAATTAACATGTAAATATTTTTTGAGAAATTTCATATTTAACCATAGCAAAACTAGTTTTATATGATACGCCAAACATTGCTGATCGACGTGATTTTGACGAACGAAGAATTGCAAGATTATTTGGCAAATGGGATGCACTCCATTTTACAGAGATTGATTGAGACGATTTTTTATAAGTAATTGACATATCAGAAATGGATTATCTAAGAAAGACAAAAAAAATTTAACAATTCAGGTTAATCTTAATCATTCTCAATAAAATCTAATAGACTAAGACAATAATTTTTTCTATGAAAACATAAAATATATACACACAACATGTCAAGTATTTAAAGCTAATTGGTTTTTGCTACTTCATGGATTTCACCATGACACTAATTGCATTTTTTAGATGTGTTAATTATATTAGCTACATATTTTAAATACTCAAGTTGAACAAAAACGGATGAGCGGTCTACTAAATTATTTTGACATTTATTAGAGTGCTAGAGACATTTTAATTCGTCCATTACCATATATCATTACATAGTAATGCCTCTATTCTATCAGATTAAACATTAATGCACTTTTATAAACGTCATATTTTCTATAATAAAATTTATATTTAATCTTAAAAATAAATTTCTATATTAGATAATTTTAATAAATTACTTTATATAAAAAATGAATATCCTTGTTTACTTGTTTATTTTTTTAACCTATCGTCATTTGTCCATTGATTCGTTCAGTCTTTTTCATTCATATAGTTTCTTAATCTTAACATACCATACTATACTATTTAAATAATCTATATTTTTTTTAAGATTTTCAAACATCTCCTAACGACATGTCGTCACCATTAATTCAACCCGAAAAATTTCAACATATTCTTCGTGTTCTTAACACAAATATTGATGGTCGTCGTAAAGCTGGTTATGCTTTAACAGCTATTAAAGGTGTCGGTCGTCGTTTTGCTCATGTTGTTTTACGAAAGGCTGATGTTGATGCTTCAAAACGTGCTGGTGAAATGACTGAAGAAGAAGTCGAACGTGTTATTACAATTATTGCTAATCCACGTCAATATAAAATCCCAGATTGGTTTCTCAATAGACAAAAAGATATCAAAGATGGCAAATACTCACAAGCAACATCTAACAATCTTGATACAAAAGTTCGTGATGATTTAGAACGTATGAAAAAAATTCGAGTCCATCGTGGTCTTCGTCATTACTGGAATTTACGTGTACGTGGTCAACATACAAAAACAACTGGTCGACGCGGTCGTACTGTTGGTGTATCGAAAAAGAAAGCATAAAACCAACGATGAGATTTTTATTGTTTTTGATCTTGTTATTTATCATCGTTAGAAAAAAAAAAGATTAAAGACAAAAAAATTTAAAATAAATAACAACTAGAAGAAAAGAACTTCGTATTTTTTTTCCTCATCTAAACTAGTATAAAAACGATAATCTAAGTTAAATCAGACAAAAGATAAAATTTTCGAATGCTATACAATATTTCTATAGGGAATGATTAACTTTTGAATATTTTAATGATTTTGGACTTGCTATGCATTTTCTAGTATTGAAAAATATAGATGTTTAGTATCGAATAGAAGTTTCTAGTATAAGAAGTAAATCAGAATTCTATATTTTTATGCTTGCTAAAAATCGAATGAATGAATTCAGACTAATTAGGAAATCGAAAAAAGAATTTTATCTCGTATTTTTCAATCGAGCTGTGTTGTAAAGAAAACTTGAATGTAAACTTTTAAACTGATTCCTATTAAATTAATAGCGAAGAAACTTTTCCTTAAACTATACTATATAATCTTATCAGATAGATTAATGGTAAATATTATGAATCATATAAAAAAATGATAGATTATTATTGGCGTCAGTAAAAATTCTAAATGGACTCACTATAAAGGTTGCATACTTTCTTTATCGTCATATTGATATATTTAGAAAGATAACATTGGCATTGATCATTGTGTACAAGTGTAAAAGAAACGTCAAGAATGCAAAACAAATCCACCTCCTCATTATTACTCAGATATTTCAGAATTATTAAAAATATTATTGAATTAAATAAAAACGATATTGTTGCCTAAAATTCATATGTAATTAGATGAGTATTATCATAAACTTACGTAATACTGATTCAAATACTAGAAAAGACTTATTTCTTAAATCTATACCGATTAATATCTATCATAATTATAATAAATTCATTGTAGCTATAGAGATTTCAATAAATATGTTCAAAGCAACAAGTTAAGCTATTAGTATAATCACATTTCACATTGTTTTCTATACGGAAGGTAGATATATATATTAGTCCAACTGATCATGGATCCCTTTAAATATCAGCTTGATTGACACTGTACATACCTAGTTGAAATCAAACAATGTCGAACTTATTAGTATAGAGAAGAAGTTTGACTAATAAATTCATTAAGTTTGAACAATCTTATTTAATTTAATTTATTGATGATAACAATGCACCTATGACAATCTTCAAACTAGAACATGGTTATAATTATGGTATATTTATTCTTTCGATACGAAACTATAATAAAAACGAGTGCACTCGTCAAGAATTACAATACACTGATAACATCTATTGTTTTTCCTATATCTCGTCACGTACGGTGGCAGACACTTTAAGTCCAATTTAAAAATAGAACACTATAATGTTTCATTATTCTCTACATATATATGCATAATAGTATAAAACTTAAGTCTAGATTTTGTAGAGATCTAACATAATGAAGAAATTCAATATTTCTACCATCTGCACTGAACGAATAGTTCAAAAAGAAGATTGTCGAAGTATTTTAATCCAATATGAATGATAGCAGTTTTGAAAAAAGGATAAATCTTAAGATTATGTCTCTATTTGTTATTCATTAACATAGAAAATATCTGAATCAACTGGTAGGATGGACTTCGATGCGAAAATATTCCAGTAATTCTTGATAAGTTTAAAGATATTCGAATACTTTAGAATATTTAGCAAAACTTCGCTAAAAAGAAGTACAAATTGAGAACAATCTTATTGTAAATCTCTAATGGTAAATTTGCTTTCCATTATATAGAGTTCTACGAGTTTCGATCGAACTAAATATTTGTATTCACAAAGAGCATAATGATAAATCTATGTTTTAAACTATAGCACGAAATCATTCTCAAAGTTCTTTCTTATAGAAGTAAAACTATGAAATAATGATAACAGACTTACAATTACCAATATTATGTGCATAATAAAAGGCAATTGTCTACATCGTTAAGAACTTTTTAATTATTTGATCAGAAAGAAAACATATTCTTCGAATAGCTACAACAATACTCTACACTCTTGAAAATTGAAGTCCTATCAAGTGATAATCTTCTTTTTGTATAAGAATTTTCATCCTTTACCGTATAATTTCGAAAGAAAAAGTAGTTGCTTTGCAAAGTAATATATTTAAATTATAAAATTTAAAGAACAAAATATTATATTGAAGCTATACGGAAAAATACGCTGTTGTATTATTTGATAAAAAATAAAATTAGTTCATTCTTAGATTGATCTTCCATGATCGTTTGATTGATTTGTTTCATTTGAAAGATTCGATGATGAACTATTGTATGATGTCGAAGAATTCGTTTGATTAGTAGAATCATTTGTATTATTTATATTCAGATTATTCATTGATGATAATTCTCCTTGTTGATGATCAGTAGTATTTCTATCACTGGAAATTTCTAAAAGTATTGTAAATAGAATAGAAAATAAATGTCATTTGCCTATTATTTTACTTTTATATGTACGTGGATCACCTCCGTTTAAACTCATAATGAATTTGATGATATAGAATATGAAGATGGCACGTGTACTTGCGTTAATATCGGCTGAGCTGAAGTGATAAGGAAACGAATCACGATTCTCTTTTTATAGTGGCACGAGACCAGGCTGATTTTCGAAGTATTTCGTTGCAAGGAATATTTTACTAGTACTTTTTTTTTCAATACAGTTTATATAGATAAATATAAAATAAACGTTCGTATTGTGTATTCTATATATACACAAAACAATCCAGACCAATTTTCTTTTTGTTATTTTTTGCTTTTTTCGTACTTTCTATTGATTATAAAGTCACGTGAAATAAGCCTGTGATTAGTCCAATACATTTTTGCAAGTCTATGTTTCATAGAAGAGCAATGGCGTGTAATCAAATACATACATACCAATTATTCACAATAAAAATAAATGATTCCATAGAAGAATGTATATAATAAACGAACAATACGATATCATCATTTTCGTTAAATTCCACATCATATTTTTTATTCGATGTCTATTACTTTTAATTTTATTTTTAAATAAATATTTTGATCATTTTTTTTATCCGTCGTCTCTTTGTTTATCATTCAAAAGAACTATTTCTGAACTTATACATATTTAGTTTATGTCACCATCTTGTTTTTCTTTAATACTTGTTTTTTTAGCAAAAAAGAAGAGAGAGAGAGAGAGAAAAAAAGTGCAATGAAAAAGAAAACGCAAGAGAGACAGAAAAAGAAAAGTGAAACAAACACAACAAAAGAAGATTTCATGATTCTCATGTATGTGACGATGCGCGTGTTGTTCGCTTATGCAATACATAGGACAGATAGACAAACACTCACACATGATTAACATCATCAATAAAAGAAGACAAAAACGAGCTAGATTTTTGAAGAAGAGAAAACAGAAGAAAACAGAAGAAAAAAAGAATGAACAGAGAACATAAGAAACGTACACGTCAAAGGATAAGGATCACAAAAGAAAACGAGCGATAGTTTTTTCTTTGTAAATAATTAGGTTGCTGGAAGACAGATGTTGATTTAGTCATTATGTTAACTCCGTTTAAAACGATGAAATCAAGCAGACGAATAAAAGCATGTACAAAAACATGAGAAAAAAAAAGCAGCAACCATGAAGAAAAATACACACATAAGGTGACAAGAATATATTAAAAAAATCGAGTATGTGGATTGTTTTTAATTTTTCCTAGTCTGAATAAAGGTTTATTTGACACCATTACTTTGCTGTTTTGGCGGTCGTTGACCTTTTGGTCCACTACCATTTATCGTTTCTGATGGTATAATATCATTTGAATCGACTCCATTATTTGATGATGTTTGTTGAGGCTTTTTTGTTGATATTTGTTGCGATTGTCCACCA